TTTTATAATTAACATGGTTAAAGAATTGTACAACATATTATCAAGAATAACATTTTCCAAAAAATACAGATTTTATTCTTTAAGAATCACTAATTACATTAATTCGTAAAGAATAAGACTATAAACAATTACTACATTCATATGACTAGAAATGGTTCAAGAATTACATTTATTTTTAAAGATTAAAACTAAGAATGGTTAAAAAAATGGAAAAAAAACATCAAAATATAACAAAAACACTAATCCATTCTGAAAGAATACATTCTTGTAGAATACATTCTGGCAGAATACATTCTTGTATAATATAGTCTCGTTCTCTATGTTTTCTTCATTTTCCACATCAATGACAGCCTCTTCAAAACCTAAATCCACAAAGAAAACAAAATCAACTTTCAAATATTAAAAAATCCAATGCAATCCTCAAATCACTAGATAAGAAAATAAAAGTGTATGAAGAAGTGTGAACTTTTTCAACCATTTTGATAGAATGTAATCCTCGAATCACAAATTTTTAATCGAAAAAAGACTCCAAAAACATAAAATACACCAAATTAAAGAATTAAAATTTATAAAAAAAAATATTAAATGGAAAACAAAGATTCTGTAAGAACACATATACTTTATTCTAACAGAATATTACGTAGAGTCTAATAGCTATTAAGAAACATGTTTATTCTGCAAGAATGATACTATAAAAATTCTCCAAGAATGGTTTTAAATATACTTAAAGAATTTGTATTATCAAGAATATGAAATAACTAATAGAGAAATATAAAGACCTCATTAGGCCAACACCAGATCAGATTAACAAAACTACATATTCTAATTCTAAAATGGGTACAAATATTTATCAATGGACATCATGTGCAAATGAATGGATGAAATATTTGATTCAAGCATTTTAACAAACAATTGGCGGGCAAAAATCAGATGCATTCTGAATCTGAAGCTAGATGATAGGTTATATGTAAAACCAAAATTTGCTCTACTAGAATATCTCCAGGAGGACCAATTTTGGATCCGAATCAAACTATATTTAATCCGATTTGAGAGAAGGGGTAGTTGTGTGTCTCATGAACCAGAACCAAAAATCCTAAAGACTAATATCGACCAATAAAGCTCAAACCTTGAAGTGAAGTTGTGCAGGCGTGGGGATTCACATGAGCAATACCAAAGCAAGGTCTCGATGAATGTAATTGTGCAGGCTTTAGAGGTTGTAGTTGTTGATGGCGTCAATGGTTGCTCGGATTTCTGGGGTCGATTTCTAGTGGAAAAGAGGAATAGAGGTATCGATAACTGGAGGAAGCCGTCGTACTCTTTAGGGTTAGGGATGTTGGTTTTGTAGGGTTTAACTAATTAAGGAGAGATTAATTGAATTTTTTTTTACCATAATTAGATATACTAAATTTACCATTATACCCATTTTTAATTTATTTAATGATTTATTATTTCCTGAATTCTCATTGGTGCATACATGCACACAATAGTTACTGAAAACATTTGAACCTGACTTTCTCTCTGTCTCTCTGTCTGTCTCTCTCTCTCTCTCTCTCTCTCTAT